AGTTACGGAAAATCAATTAACAAACGGAGACGTAACAATATATATATATGTGTTAAATAGGTGACGGCGATGGCCATGTCAACTTGCCTGTTGTTATATGTTGTACTCTTAAACATTTCTCTTTAACGTTAAAGTGATTAAGGATATTTGTAATTTTTAATCAGTGCTATTTATCTGTAAATTAATATGCCCTAAAACAATTAATATAAAGAAGAGGATTAAATAGCTGTGTAACAGTATTTTTCTTTTCATGTTCTTCAAATTTTCGTAAACTGTTTTTAGTTCGAGAATATAAGAACAGAAACGGCGCACCATGTTACTTTGTTGTTATAAACGTGGACATCACATTTATCAGATAAAGTTGCCTAGTGTGGTATGATATTTAGTTAACAGAGCGAACGTTGAAAGTGTATTTCATCATTTTTTATGTTGGCATTTAAACAGCTATTAATACAGCTAGGTGACTATTGCATCAGATACGTTTTATGTATAGATTATAAGTTATAGTTACGATCGAATTCGAAGTGATTGTGATTCGGTGTGACTGTGAGCACAATATTTTATCTTTTTAATTTTATTGGTTTACAAACCAGGCAAAATAGATTGTTAGTGTTATCTTGTAGCTGTAATATAAGTTACAGAATGTACATTTATTTAGTCATTATAATGATTTATTAGTAGTTTGAAGTCGGTGGCGTATTTAACGTCGATGCAATCTAGGCAACGCACCACGGGCACCCAAAGTAATCTAAAAAAAAAAAAAACCTTGCGAATTTTCATACCTATAATTGATAAGTACGGAGGTCACCCTAGGAAAATTGTTTCGAGTTTTTTAAAGTGTTAAAAACGCCTCTGTTTGAAGTATATTATAAAATGTTGTGTTTGTCTAAAGTTAAACTTGGCTCCATTTCTAATCTTATGTTTTACGCCTTTAGCGAGAACTTGACACTATAATAATTTATAGTATATAACATTAACAGTAACTGGACTCGTTACTATTTGTTATAGTATTACTATTACTACTAATAAATGTAAGTCGTGGTGTCATTTTTGCACTACCTGTTTCGCTGCAACTAGTTCATCAATTATGTTATTTTAGAATTTTGTTCAGATCTTGGGGGGTATCTAAACTCCACAGACACCATTCAGTGCAATTCCTTGGCTAACACTTAAAACGAGTTAGTAGCATATAAAATAAATACAGTTTGTAAACCATTTTTATATTACTTGCAATTTGCTACAGAGACTTACAGAAAACAAGTAGTGTATTGTGCTTGCAATGTGTATATCATGATTACTAGATGCAGTGATAAAATCCAGTGTTATATAGTAAACTACAGATCAGCAATATTACCATAAAATTAAATAACCAAATACATAATGTAAGGTGAGAAAACAAACAGAGGACATGGACAAGTCTTGTTTTTAGTAATGTACAAAGACCATTAAAGAGGTAGAGGTTCATTGACAAAAAAAAAAAAAAGATGAAAATTCTGAAAATTTGTTTTGGAGGGGGGATATGGGAGACAGTCATGAGAAACAAACAGATCCTCTTTTAAACACTTTTAAAATCCAAAACTAAACAGTGGATTCTTGCATATTTACACTCGGTAGCATATTACAATTACTTTTTTTTTTCACCGTAAAGATGTAAAATTCCTTGTGTGTAATTGATTTTAAAGCTGAAATAATAATTTGCAGCAAGTAAGGCATGAAATCAGACATATTTTTAGTAGTTGTTCACAACTTTTTTATAACTGAGAAAAAGAGTACATTTGGGGTACAATGATGGGGGATTGAGCCTACCCAGTCACTCCCCTGAGCACATCACTGCTTATCATGGATATATATGGCTGTGTTCAGATCCCCTAACTAAAAATGTTCTCGCTGGTTTGCAATAAACTAAACAGTTGTTGGAGCTGTGCTTGCTAGCACAGTAGCAGTTGTTTTTTTTTTGTATATAGTGAAGACAGCTTCTGTCTCTCAATATTGGAGTATTTAGTATTTAAACTACTTATCTAAATATAATTTTAATGTAGGAATTACTACTGGGAGATGCACAGTAGTTTAAGAGAAAACATACTCATTGTAATGCATCTGTTTGGACTTTAATTGTAAAGGAATAATTGTGCAAATGGTTGGTACACTGAAAGTATTTCATGCAGGGAGAATAGTCCAAAATTTTAAAATACCTTTAGTGGATATTTTAAGATTATAAGAAAAAAACAAGTGGCAGATTCCCACTTGTCTCTTCCTCCCAAAATTATTTCATTCTTGAAATCTCTAACAACAAACAAGAGTTTAACTGGCTGTCAGTTACTTCAAAAAAAGAACCATTTACAATTTTAAATTATGTGTGTGATTTAGCAGTCAGTTTCAACTATTAAAACATTTTAATAATTAAAAAACATCATTTGTAAAATAAAGTGTTCACTTACAGTGACTCTTGATAATTGTCCAAAGGTGACCTCTAGTCTTAGGTTCATCAGCATGGAAGAATTTGAATCTTTCAGTCTTATCCAAGGGACTGGAAATTTTAAAAACTTGATTAAGGCCTTTTGTGTAATAAATATAAGATAAATGTAATATATTCTGGCATTGGTCATAACCTAATTCACAAAGGTTGGGTAACACCTTATTCATCCTGTACTGAACAACTTCAAATAACATTAATCCAGTTTGACAGAACTCAATTTATAACAACTTTCTTCTGTCTTCTGTTCAGCCACTTTTCTATCCAACGAGTGAACTTATTCTCTGTTTAAGAAGTCTTTTATGTGGCATCTTATCAGATTCTTTCTGGAAATCCAGATACACGAAACCTACACCCTTACCCTTATCTAACTAAGCAGTAACCTCTACAAAGAATCTTGAAAGATTAATAAGGTAGTATTTTCTCCAAGAGATCACACACAAAAGGGCTACATATATGTTTCAATTCCTAGACCTCTGATAGAGTTCTTACTTTTTTAGCAGCTTTTCAGAGTTAGTTTTTAAATCATTTGCTACAAAAAAGATAATGTTTATAGGTACCAGAAAGTATATTATCAATACTTTATAATGTATTGCAATTAGAACCCTGCAAGTAATTTTTTTTTATAAACTTCCCATGTTTTCCTCTATAAATAACTTTATAAGTTGACTTAATGAGAAAGTTCTTACTTGATAAACCTCTTGATTATCTTGTCACTCATTGCAAACAGCCCAGACTTCAAACCTGTTAGACTAGTATGTGATTGCTAACTGAAATTCCCTCTATAACCCAAATGCTTTTACTACTGTGCACCCTCACTTGCTCAGTCTCCTAAGCAATCTTTACACTAACTATCCATTTTTTTGTGTTGCTTTTTTGATACTTCCTCCTAATCTGCTATTCTCCCCTTCTAATAGTGCAATCTTTAACATTCACTCTTACAAAAGGGCATCTCAGACTGAAAAAGCTTGGAAACGTGTAATAGATGTCAATTCAAATAGTTTCATCAATAAGGTGTTTAGAAATGTAATTACAAGAGCACTTTAGTGTTAGCAATCATAACATTAATTACATTTAACAATTTTTTTTAAAGCAGCTGTAGAGCATATAAATATATTATTTTCTCATTCTTAAAAAAGTGAAATTCCAGAAACTGCAAACTTTTAGAAAGAGAGACTGAAAGGGTAATCGATAAATTGGAAAAATATTGATGTAAAGCCTTTGTTGTGTTTTTGATTGTTCAGTCAAATTAGCTCCAAAAGAATTGTATTTCAACCAAACTTTTTCTGTCATCCAGGTGATCTTTCCTAAATGATTGAATAAGGGGAATTATTATCTTATAGAAAATGCCAAATTTACTATACCAGAATGTATGACATACTGGTAGAATGAAGAGAGCTGAAGTTTAGCAAAGCAACAAAAAGAAGTCAAGAAATAGTTATATTAAAGAGTAGTAAGCTGTTTTGGAAAATTGTGAAGGTAAAACTCACATCCATGACAGGTTTATTCTAAACATTTTAAGAATCTTAATAAAGAATTTTTGGAAGGTTTTAATTTTGAAAATCCAGACACAGTAAAACTTGGGTGTTGTCGAAGGTTGCCATTTTGATCCCTATTTTTAAGTGAGGCTGAAAGGTTGCCATTGTTATCTCTATTTTGAAAAAATAAAGTTTAGAGAGCATTTAAACATCTGGGTCTGTTTGTTTGTGAGCTGTTGAAATTTATTTTCAGAAATCATTTGGAAAAAGTTGGCATTTAATTGATGCTTTAAGTTTTTTTCAAAGTGGTTGTTTTATGGGATATATATATATATATATATACTTTTTTCTTATATGCATCTTACCTGGTTGTTGTTAGTGTGTACTGGGAAACCTTTAATAAAGTGTGTTATAAAAGTTCAATTAGTACATTGGGTGCTTGTTTTGTTGGAAAAACAAGCATGTGATTAGCAAATTGGCATGGCAGTTAGTAAAGAGTTGTTATTAAGGAATATTTTTTTATGAACTGAATATTATCACAGTTATTTTGGGATTCTTTCTTTGTCAACAACTTGATTAGCTTTTAGACAATTTTTCTATACTTGCTGATAATGCTTTTGCTATTTAATAGTGATTTGGTCAGGTTGTTGAAAATGTTAAAGCTAATTAATGGAAAAATATATAAAGGACTTTCTATCGTGTTAGAGGGGAATTGTTATTTTATTGGAGATTATTTTATTATGATTATAATACACTTCTGTCTGCTAAATATTTAGCTGCAATGAAATATAATTCTCAATTTTTGTTTTAATAGAAATTTTAATATTAAGAGCAAGAAGGTTATTGTGATCTCTTAGGGAATTTTGGTGATGGTGAAGCTTCCGTTTATGTCTTCTTACCCCAGAATGGACATCAACGTGTTGGAAAGAGAGCAGAAAGGTGCTATTAGAATGATAATTGGTTTAAATTTCAACTACAACGAGAGACAATGTTTTAATAGATTTTCTTTAGAATGTAGAAAAATAGATAACTTGAGTTAATTGTTAAAATTTGTTAGGAGTTAGACAAGTCATTTAGTTTATACATCTGTAGTTAATGTTAATCAATCAAGTAAACCATTAGCAATAAATAGCTTAAAATTAGGTATACATATGTTATATTTTGTATTCACCATATTTTCCTTCGTGTGGATTTTGTCTCGTTTTAATTTTTGTCTTTCTTAAAACAATTGTTCCTTCCTTTAAACGTTTTTTACATTAACATTCTTTTTTGTTCCTACCATGCTAATCATATCTGTTTGTTAATAGAATGATATAAATATTGGCTACCTACATCTGTTACCCACCTGAAGTGACAATAATAACACAGTGAGAAAGTGCCAAGATGAACTTTGAAGCCATCCGAGGGTTTACCTCCCACCATGATCCATCTGCCCAAACAAAGGTATAAGTGTGCACTGATTTAGTAAGATAATCATGTTAAACTTGCCATTTCATATAAGTTATTTAGCACTAGAGGAATATTTTGTGTTTGTAAGGTGCAAAGAATTATCAGCAAATACAAAATTATGGTATAACACATTTTTGTCAATTCTTGCCTTTAGTTCTGTAGTTTTACTGTTTTGTACACATACTTTTAATACTACAGTTTTTACTTACATCACTTTTAGTACTACACTTTTTAGTTTTTGCTTAATAATGTTCAGCTTTTATTATTTTTTACCAAGATATTTAACACAGTAGTTTTCACTATTTTCTATATAGACCTTCAGTACTGCTGTTTTTATTGTTTAGTATAAAGGACCTTCAGTACTGCAGTTTTTATTGTTTAGTATAAAGACCTTCAGTACTGCAGTTTTTATTGTTTAGTATAAAGACCTTCAGTACTACAGTTTTTATTGTTTTGTGTAAATACTTTCAGTACTGTAGTTTTTTCTGTTTTGTGTAAATACTTTCAGTACTGCAGTTTTTATTGTTTTGTGTAAAGACCTTCAGTACTGCAGTTTTTATTGTTTTGTGTAAAGACCTTCAGTACTGCAGTTTTTATTGTTTTGTGTAAAGACCTTC